GTGTCCTTGACGCAGTGTTGCGATGCGTACAGTTGACAATGCACAATGATCTGTTCCATTCATGTCTAAATTAACCCAAAATGTGACCATATTTAGCAAGCTTCAATGAATTTATCATAGTCAGGGATAACTATAACAAAAATCATAACCTTGACCTTTCATTCACACAAATATATTCACATTTCTCATCTATTTTCATCATTAAATGTCTTATTCTGCATCATACTTTTATTTTATTATTTCTTTAATATTTATGCAAAACTAAACATCAATTATAGATGTAGTGCCATATTAAATATGCAATAGATATCTCCAGTAAAGTAATTGTGCTATCAAATGTGTTAGTACATAGTGTACACGTGTTATACATTCGCCATACAAGTTACTTCTGCTACCGTGTATTACAGTTTCATGCAATGTAACCATCTTAAAAAAATACCCTTTTGAATTTTATTTTCATAATCTTCAAATAAGTGTTATAAATAGCATCTGCGCCTCCATAATACTGTAGAAACAGCTCCCAGGAACAAAGGATGCTCCAGAAAACCACAGATTTTCCTCACAAAACAGAAATCATATTTCAAACATGATCATTGCAAATCAGCCAACACCAGGTGATGCTAAACCAGTTTCTGTCCTTCATGCTAGACAAAAACAGTAGAACTGTCAAAAGAAATTTTGGACCAAACGCCCTCTGTTGGTTATATTATTGCAATGTCAACCTAGCTCAATAAATACTAAATAAATTGACTTTAATTGGCAAATACAAACTAACAACTTTTACACCCAGGCAAACCGAGAAATCAAACTCAGAGTAAACAAGCTATTAAGGGAAAGTGCAATTCAATATTTTATTAAACTACTAAAATAAAAATCCATGAAAAGAAGGAATGAGGCGTAAACCTTCTGTTTACCAATATACAATTCAACGGCTCCATGATATTGCTCGACTTGTTTTAGTTACTAGTATAGTACTATAACACTACAACAACACAATACAAAATATAACTAGAATGTAAAATCAGAAATCAAGGTTTATACTTTAATATATGCCTTTTGTATTTTATTATACCGTTGAATGATGCTATGGTAATCCATTAGGCTGCTTTTTCTGTTCTTTTATCTTCATGGCACATCTCCTGATATATATCCACACATTCAAAAACGTATATACGTATTGATTTACATGTTTGTGTGTTTAAAAATTACAAAAATATTACAAATCTTAATATTACACTTTTACTTTGATAGGGAGGATAATGTCATTGCCTGCATCTCGCTTTTTTTTTTTATAGTCATGTCACTCCTTTAACTCTTCCTGTTTCTTTCTCCTTTTCTCTGTTTCTATCATCTTTCTCTGTCACTCACTCTTTCTCTCTCTCTCTTCTTCTCTATTTGTCTTTTCTTTTACCACTCTCTCTCTCTCTCTCTCTCTCTCTTTTTACCTTTCTCAATTTCTCTCCTCACACACATGTTCTTTCTTCTCTCCTTATGTTTCGTTTTGGTTTCTTTTCTTCCCCCTTTTTATCCTCGCTCTTCCTCTCTCCTTTATCATTTTTCGATATTTCTTTTACCTTCTATCGTCATCATGTTACCTTATAATTCTGGCGTCTTTCGTGAACCTCTAAAAACTGCTCTCATTGTCACGACGTTGAATAAATCATCCCTGGATCCTGAGAACCTAAATAACTACCGACCAATTTCTAACTTGTTCTTCGTCGGCAAGGTTATTGACATTGGGGCAAACCAATACGACGTGATATTATTAAGAAATTTCCAGGTAGCCGTCGAGTTTCAGTCGAGTTTTCAGCTGATAAAGGGTTCATGACCATGAAATTGTTTTAACCTAAATTTCAAAATTAGAAATTGGTACTAAAGTTCATTGTTAAATTGTGTATACAAACAGTCGGCATATCAATACCATACAAGATAATTCTTGGTATCTCCTAATAGTACGCACACATGACGAATATTTATATAAATTAATACCCGTGGTACAAATATTTGTTTTCTACGATATGGGTGTACTTTAAAATTGTATTGCATTGTGATTGATATATTTCTAAGGCACAGTTTTGTTTGCATGTCTGCCCTGAATTTAAATTAAGCATCATAAGCAGAATATTTATAGATTCACCCCCCCCCCCGCATTCATATATATTGTGCATGTACAAGGAAGCACCAGAGGTAACCATTACATTCAATTTGTATCGTGAAATTGATTTGAGCGCATCAACAACCTATTAAAGTGAGATGTTCTTGTTTTGACATGTTTCAACAAGGTTATTAATTAAGTAGATGATCAGACCCAATCAGACATGTCGTCTCGTATATTATTACTATTGATTCAGGTGAAGTTTTTTGACATTTGACCTCAAGTCATATCATACTAGTTATGCAGTCTTCAGGATGGTCCTAGTACACCCATGGAGTTAGCAATAGCTTACACCCATAGTGTGATTAATTTGAATACTGCCAGGTGTTGTATACTAAGGGGCTGAAATGTAAACTGGTTCGTATTGTGGGCAAAATAATATCAGATTTGTAAAGTACTTCCTTACATCAGATTCTGTATGACGTGTGGATGTGAGCAAAGTCAGGTTGTTTGTCTTGCTGCAAAATGCAGACCATTTCCGCACATTATTTAGATATTTTATTTTCATGTGTTTTTTTTTTCTGCGTCTTCATCTGTATTTGGAGTTCTTGTTATATTTTCTCCTGTACCTTTCCTTCCTTTTTCAATTTCTTCTCCTTTGCTTTATTCTTCGATTTTTGATGTTTTTGTTGTTCTTCTTTAATTGTTCATATTCATTCTTCAGCTTGTTTTCGTCGGTAACCCTTAGCCCCTATTTTTCAGTAATCGTTCTTATTTAGGAGCAACCCACCTCCCTGATATAATCATGTGAATATCGATGACAGACTTAAATTGGACAATAGGATTTCAGAAAAAAGGCAAGATAATGGATTCGTCTGTTTTAGGCATTAACCTGTATAGGCCTACTTTAATATGGAGTTTACGCCCTGTTTTGCTATCAACAGATGATTTACTCATCCGTGCTTTTTCTTACAGTTCGAAACAATGGTATTCTCCAAACAAAGGAAAACAAATAATCTTGAAAAAAACATCTACAGAAGAACATAGTTGGTCAATAACATGCAGTCTCTTTGGTAGCTCGAAATGAGATCGATTTGTTCTGATTAGATTTGGTGTATTTATATCGGATTGGGTCGTCGTAAGCTTAGTCCAAAGCTTCAATCAGAATTCGATTTTCGATAATAACATAAGTTCTTAGTATTATAATAAGAACTTATGTTAAATTTACACAATTTCTGTGTCAATTATGAAAAGACCAATTTAGATATCAATAATAGTAAAAGCATACAATAAACCTTTTCATAATTACACAATGGGCTCGCGTGACGTCACAGGTCGTGGGGTCATTTACGCTAAAAATCGGTGAATACACCAGTTTACGGTTACATTATGGCGCATGCGCAGACATGTAATTCAATTCAATTCAATTCAATTCAATTCAATTTATTTTGCCAAGCAATAGAAAACATACAGGGTAAAACAAAAACAGTATACAAAGTTTTACACAATTACAATTACTAACATAGATAAACACAGAAATACACAGAATCAATTTACAAACATGAATAATCCAAATGAAATTACTAATGCTGGTAGCAGCCAGAAAGGAGGTGGTCCTTGTATGCGGCTGACCAATTAATCAAATATAAAAAGTTAAGCTGTAATAAAAAGTGAAACAAACAACAATTACATGTAAAATATAATGAATTTAACAACCGTTAAAATCTGTAGCTAATATTAATATACGTCCATCAAGTATTTTTTGTATTTACGTTTGAAAGTGTTAACAAATTTCAATTCACGTATATAACGAGGTATAGTACTCCATAAGCAAGGTCCATTACATATTACTGTACGTTTATATGAAGTTGTATGTACAAGTGGCAAGTTAAAAGTCTCAGCATTTCTAGTACTATAGTGGTGTATATTACAATTTAGTATAAACAGTTGTAAAAGTGATTTAGGAAGGATTTTTAAATAGCACTGGCACATAAATATTGCACGTTGATAATTATACATATCAGTAAAATTCAATATTTTCATTTCTTTAAAAAGTGGATGTGAATGGGCAAGATAAGGAGTATGACAAATAGTACGAATTGCACGTTTTTGCAATAAAATCACTTTCCTAATATGGCTTGCATGTGCATTCCCCCATGCAAGTATTCCATAATACAAAAATGGTAAAATCAAACTGTTATATATCATCTTCAATATACATTTAGGAAATATTTTTCGATAATACATTACAAACAGCATTTATATGATCAGTCCATTTCAACTTATTATCAATGGTTATGCCAAGAAATTAAAGTGAAAAGACCTGTTTAATTTCTGTATTACACAAACGAATAATAATAAAATCAGTGTCACATTTTTTATTAGTAAAAATCATATAATGTGTCTTACTTATATTAATTGACAATTTATTTACAGAAAACCATGTGTTTATTAACTTAATTTCCCGATTAAATATATTATGAAGTGATTGTATATTTTGATGGGATAAACAAATGCTTGTATCATCGTCAAATACAATTGATTTTAAAATTCTCGACACACTAGGAAGATAATTGATATATAAAATAAACAATAATGGGCCTAATATGGATCCTTGAGGTACTCCACATTTGATTTCTTGGTAATTTGATTTTACATTAGCAATAGAAACAAATTGATGACGATGTAACAAATAATTTTAAAAAAGATCTAAACCGATTCCCCTTATTCCATATTGATATAATTTCACCAACACCAATTTGCAATCACCAATCTGCTCATTTCCCCCACGTAATTTAAAAGGTGTTATAATAATACATGGCAGTATTCCCAGTAAGAAATTACATGTAACATGTTGACATAATTACACTTTCATGGCTTTATGTTACCTTGATTACAGATAAAGCTCAACCTGCAATCACGTAGCTGCTCTTCTCTTCAAGGTTGTCTTTGGGTGGCTTCACGGGCTGACCAACCCGGCATGTACTTCACGTGAGTGTGGATGGTCTGCATTTGCCGGGAATCAGTCAGTTGAACCACAGCAGATAGCGGACATGAACTGGAGCAAGCCCCAGTTTTCTCGACAAGGTACATGTATATTTTATTATTTTTGCTTCGAGTTGGCAAGTGATATTTAACTGGAATCATTGTAGACACATTTAATGATTTGTAAACAAAGTTAAACATTTGATAAAATTATTCATTAATGAAAAGGATTTTACATCATTTTTTGTAAGGTCAAAATAAACTTTGCACAAGATTACAAGAACATGAGGCTTACCGGCATTTTGTTTGAGTCTGCCTAGAATGCTCCCAAAAGGAGGCTACTGAAATTTAGCCAGTTTTTATCTTACATGTACATTTCACACATCTCATTTAAATTCTTTCTTCTTTTTACCCCAGCTACATCTGTGCAGGCAGCGGAAGGGACTATCACCAGCACGCGACGTTTGTTCTCGCCATTGAGCTCCAGGTCGATTGCTGCAAAGTCTTCTCTTCCAGCACTTTCGCAGCGTTCGACGCAACGTTTCCAGTACATGAATGTTGATGTGGATCAGCCACCTGTTCCAAAGGTAGCAGCAGAGGAAGAGGTAGTTTATGTGGACATACCTCCTCCTCTTCCGTCTTTAGCATTCAAGTTCTCGTCTCCGGAGGGGTTTCTGCGCGAGCTGCCCATCTACACTCCGGCAATGACAAGTCTCATCGAGCAGATGACCCGCGGTCAGGCCGACAACAAGATCTGGCATTTGTATCGGCATCAGCCTGATTGAGCTAGGCACAAATGAATTGAGAAACCTGAATTGAATTGAATTATTTTCTGAAATATGAATTGAATTTGCCTGAATCATGAATTGTATTGAATTTGAATTGTGAACTTAATTTAACCCGAACTATGACTTTAATCTACTTACTTAGTCTGAATTATAAATTGAATGTGATTTGATTTTGTTAATTTTATTTTAATCTGAATTACGAATTGAATGTGATCGGGATTTGAAACGGATTTGATCTAAATTACAAATTAAATTGGTCTGAATCTTTAATTGTATTTAATCGGAATTGCGAATTGAATTTAATCCGAACTATGAATTGATGTTAACTACTTAGTCTGAATTATGAATCGAATTTTAGTCTGCATGTTGAACTATCGCATTTGTTGTTACCATTTGTTGTAACCTATGTTCAAGTTAAATGTTCTACTCTGTACCCATTTGTATCTTATTGATGTTTGTAATCTTGTACTGACATGCAAATGAAACAAATTTCCAATCATTGGACAATAAATTTGAATATGAATAATATATGAAATATTACTGGGTCGTTTTTTTTAAATAAAACATGTACAGAGTTATGAACAACAATTATTTCTGAAGTAAATATTTTATGGTAATTTTGAGTATTAGCTCATTTGTAGAAACAGTTATAAAAAATTCGATTCATATTTTCCCCCTAGATTTGTATAAATGTATTTTGTTGTGGCATTTTCAGTTGGATTATCTGGGAATGTACATTGTATACATAAAATAAACTGCATGTTTTTTAATATATTTATAATGACACAAATCAACATAATTACATGGAACCTCATGAATCATTTCATCTACTGTTTTTATTATTATGAGTACATTTACATGTGCTAGTATTCCAGTCAACAAAATTACATGTTGATTTATGTTTGTAACTTTGTATACTTCTGATTTTTTACAACAAAGATTCACTTCATACATGTACCTTACCTGACTTCAATGTGAACTACTGTATATTGCTTCAGATACTCAATTTTTTTTTAGAGTGATTGTTCTTTTCCAGAGCATTTAATTTTTTTATCTTACCACAGCTAAATTTTTCACTGAGGTACATGATACATGTATAAATAAACTAAAAAAAAACACAGTGCATTTCTTCCAAATTATTTAAAATTATTCTGCATTGGTAGTTTGGTACGTGTTTATTTACTAAATCACAACCATTGTTTGTTTATCATTTGTATGAACAGTATGATACATAGGGAAGAATCGGTATGAATTACATCACATCCATAATTTTGACTGACTTGTCGTTCAGTAACTCACACGTTGTATTTCTACATGTTAATAGCTTTTCTTGATTCAGCTGGAAAAATATAAATAAATTGCATGTACATGCCAAATGTTTACATGTAATTAAACTCAAACATGATATATCTTGAGGCTTGCTAATCTCTAAGTGATGTTGGTTTGTATTTGTGATGGTGATAAGAGTTGTATATGGAGGGAATGTTACACACAATATGGTACATGTGGCCCACAATGCATTTAAAAAAAAAGCATCTTAACATATCAAATTCACTTGACCAGTGGCTTGCGCAGGTTGACAAGAGCAGCACAAACAATGACAATATCATCGATCTAAGGCAGTGTAATAGGCACAGGTTCCTGTAAAATAGCAAATCATTTCATCCTCCCAATTGCACGCTCAACATGTATCCTTGCATTGGCGATCTTCTTTGTTTTTGCCACATTATTGGGGGTCTGCTGCTCTTTGCCTTTACTTGGAGGAGGTATTTCAAGTCTTGCCCCTCGAAGCAGAAGGTCTTCTTTTATAACAAACCCTCTATCAGCAAGGACAACATCCCCTGCATCAATCAAGTTATAAAAGCCAGACTCTCTTGTAATGTGCACATCTGTTGCCCTTCCTCCCCATGCCTGAGATAGAAAAGTTATCATGCCATTTGGTGCAATGACAATCAGAAACTTGACAGTATTATGTTTTTTTATAATCTGACCAAGTACAAGCCTGACTAGCCAAGTTCCTTGGACGTTCAATAAAGATCTCTGTGCAATCTATTGTACACCTAAGACGTTTGTACTTATCTTTCAAGGACTAGGGCATTAACAATAATGTTGACAATTGACCAGGCAAGAAAATCAGTGGACGTTGTTCACTTGCCAAAAACTTGATCCAAGGGTTAAAAATCTGAGACACTGTACTCTTTGTGATCCCAAATAAGCTTCACAAGAAAGTGATATTTAAGGCCAACCGTAATTTCATGAGTACTAGTACAAATTCTTGCAGTGTACCAAGTGATCTTTGTGGTCCCGGTTTTTGTGGGGTCCTTTCAAGTTTAGCCCTTGGGGATGCTCTGGGAGAGCTTTCTTTTTTTTAACCTGTCCAGTACCTCTTTTTTTCGGTGGTTCTCTTCGTGATTTGGATGGCACATGGCAATAGCCTAAGTTTACTGCTGGGTCAGGCCATGCAACTGTTGGTTCTCCATCTTTGAAATGTAAAGAACAAATCCTTGACCCATGGTTTGGTTGCCAGTTAGCACCTGTTTGTGTTTTCCTGTTGACTAGCATAGCCCACCGCTTGCGGGCCTCTTGGTCTTTTCTCTCAGTTGGAAAGGGGAAGAGTGTAAATGGTGGTTTGCACACACAACTTCCAAATTAAAGTCCATGGACATCACATAGCTGAGTGTGCCATTTTTCCAATCGATACGTATTATTAGAGCAACCAACTAAGTTGCAATTCATGATGAAGTACACAGGTCTGGTGCCTTTAGCCCACTAGTAGTAGCCTGTAATGTAAAGGGAGAAACAATAGTGAATTTCTAGTACACGTTAACATTAAGTGGGCAGTCACTGGGCACTAGGCCTAGACGGTACGTACAAAGCAGCAGAAAGAGGGGCCCATTTATAAACATTATGTTGGTACAACAAACATCAAATTGAATATATGGGACCAAAATTTGAAATCAGATTTTAAACCCCAGTGCAGGTCGGTAAATTATTGCATATGTTATACATTTCCATTTCTTATGTCACTAAATTTTTCATTCTAACCAAATATTCACGCCTTCGTCGATATCTTGGACGATTTAATTTTTTTTTTTTATTTCGGTAAACCATCCACCAAATTTATAGCGGACGATAGGATAGTGAAGCAGAAACGAGCGAGACGTGTCAGAACAACACACACACAAATACCTTCTAAAACATTTAGTTGGATATTAATTGTTATTTTAAGAGACAATAATGTTAAAATTTACCTTTCAACAATATGTTTCCAAGTTCCTAGTGGCGATGCCTGACCTAAACTTTGCTAAAGGAGTAAAAGTATGGGTCGGTTTTTCGCAAAGGTCGTAGGCAATGCAGGAGCTGTACACACAAAGATCGTCAGCCCGAATTTCGCATTTTCTATCAGAAATGACCTGACCCGGAAATACTGGCCGTGATTATCGCGCATGCGCAAATGGTAATTACGAAAAGGCTTATTGCGTTATCGAGGGAGCACTGAAACGATGGTGGGGGGGGGGGGGGGGGAGCTGCCAAGCTTGGGAATGAGATGCTTATTTACAATGTTGTTGATAAGGAGGAGGGTGCGCGCGGGACGTGGTCTTTTCCCTCCGCGTATACCTTGGCTATATTGTGATGCATGGGGCACTAGCTTACAAAGAGAGCACCTTCGCAAGATATAGATCGATCGACTTGAATCTCATTGTTGTGATTCCCTTTACTAAAACTTTCCACTTATTCATGGGCGACTGTCATTATTTGTTCAATGCACATAAATTACTATAAAAAAGGTATTATGATTTGTGATACAGCCAAACCTGCTTTAGTGATCACCTGAATATAGAAAGACCACCTGTCTACAAAGACCACACTTTCTCATTGAAAAATGTAGCCTACTATAGGAACCTGTAATCAAAGACCACCTTCCTATAAAGACCACTTTTCTTGTACCTTGTGTGGTCTGTATAGACAGGTGCCATATGTATATGGAATTATTAATTGTTTCAAAGTCACCATCTAACCTGCGCGGCCTGATCGAGTCAGAGCATTCATGGACCATACCATGGTCTGAGGAACTGGAGAGGGAATCCTAATCATGTTTCTGTGACACCATATGGGGGGATATAAATCCCCCCCTTTTTTTTATTCGCGCCCCTGCATGAGAAGGCCTAATTCCGCTCTTATTGCAAGGAGGATTCTTTACTTATACATCCATCCGAAAGTTTCCCAACGAATTATCAAAAGTCACAACAATGTCGTATATTCTCATATCCAGGCAGTATTATCATAACCTCACGTATTGATGGCTATTTCATGAGCCGCATATTCAACTACCACTCCGCCACTGGAAAAAATGGACCTGTATAATAATCTCGTACCGGTATATTAATCAGGAATAAGAGATAAGCTTATCCCACTATGCACCCACAATGCAATTTACGACGTGCACACTTCGCATAAACCCGGGATCTGCCGTATCGCAGCGAAATCTACATTAAGTCACTGTGCTACGCTGCTATATAGCCGACGTGTACTAATCTTGAATTGCCGGTGAGAGATATGCGTTTATTTTGCGAAGTTTTGGTTGGACTGTACATTTCTCTGCATCCAAATAATCTTCTTGCACCTTATTTCTAGAGGAATATAATAACAATGTCGAAGCCAGATCAACTCCTTGCAATCAAACCACCAACGGAACTCCGTTTCCGAGGTAAACACTTTTTTGGTTTTGATTTGTTTTTACTCGTTTCAATTTGTTTTCTCATTTGATTTGCATTGATCTGATCATCATCATGTGACATGTGTGTTATTTTTTTGAACGTTAGATACAAGATTTGGCAGCTGACTTTGATATTTATCTTGGTTTTTAGTTTCTATGTAAGAATTTTTTTAGATGTTTGGCATTATCATGAAATAGTCTAGGAAACCGCTCATCTGCTCATTCTCTGACCAGCAGAGCACCACACATAGGAGCATCATTATCCTGGCTGTGTAGTAAAAGCTGTGCTTTTGATTCTCAACATTTCAAACACCACTTTACAAAACTCAACTGATTTTACTCAAAATCGGTACTTTAGTGACAATTGAAGACACCTATATAGCAGTAAAATACCTTTTTTTTTCAACTTACTGATGTTAAAAATAATAATTAAACAAATTCAAATTGTAAGTCTAGTGTCAAACTTTGCTTACAGCTGCATCGGCATGATTGTGTAAAGTCTAGGGAATATTTGGAGGCGTGTATATCTGTGTACGGGTCTAATATTACCTGGCTCACAGCATGAATGGAGTGCTAGATGTCAATACGCATTAGCATTGACTCTCTATGCTTTGCTGGAGTGCAGAGCACTAGACTATTTCGTCAACGACAATGACATGGCTTTGCCGATTCAGCGATTTGAACGAATATGATTATGATCGGTAGAGTTCTAAGGGCGCTTTGTCCGGGAATGAGGTTTATCCGCATGAAAGGATATCCTCGTAAACACGGTCAAATTGCGTCCTCAAAAATAGGGATCGTCTGCACGTTTTTCTTCATAGGCGCTCTGGCGGTTTCGAGTTCCTGAACTGCGCACTGGCGATGCAAAAAACGGATTCCACATAAGAAAATTACCCCAGTCCACCGTCTACTTTGATGGTTTGTCCGTCTTCCCAAGGATTTATCACTCATAACGTGACAGTCTCTGTACAAAGTCAATGTAAAAATAAAATGCATCTAGAAAATCATTGTGGAATCCGTTTTTCGCATCGCCAACGCGCAGATTGGAAATGTGAAACGTCTGCGAAAATGAAGACGATCCTTATTTTTACGGACACGTCTGTCCGCATTTACGAAGGCGATCCTCGTTTATGCAGACAATCAAAGATAGACTTCTTAGTTCTTTCCCCTTTCCTGACTAATGTAACAGGACAGACTTGACTTAAAGAGAGTAGCCGACCCTACCCAAAACAGAGGCTAACGAACGCAAGCGACATACATTTTTCGGTCTAAGACTCGACTAGCCTTACGGTTACAGGCTTTGTCTTTTACTTAGTAATTCATATGTTTAATCAAAAATAATTATCACCAAGGGCAAGGCCAAGCCTATACAAAAATAAACGTCTGATTTGGGTCATTTCTTTAAATAAAACTGACATTTGTTGACATTCCCCAATACAGACGGTACTGCAAAGATTTCGCACCCTGGGGGTAATCTAGAGCCAGCGATGAACACATTTTCGTTCGCGACATTTTCTCCCCGATTTTCTTAATTTAGATCTAATTTTCTGATTTCTTAATCAGATGTAATTTAGGTTGGTTTGCCTATCTCCTAATTACAGTTATCAAAATTTGATAACTTATTATTAAATGCGAAATTTACGAACTTACTTATATGAATTATCCAATTTGTATCTCCGAACCGTGAAACAGTACGTTCATGCACTCGAACATTTAGCTTTATGACCCGGCGGCCGATATATTTCCGGGTCAACCTACTAAAACATAGCCAATAGCCAATCAGAGCGCTCGTTTCGTGGGTCAAACCGGGCTGACTTGTACGTAGCTACAGTAGCTATTGGACGTTCGCAAAGAAAAAATGAATATTCATCAACTTAAACCAAGATGGCTGACAACGAATCATTTTGACTAGGAGACTTTCTCGGATTAATCATTAATTTAGGATCTAGATGAGCAAGCTATCGTAAGTCAAATAAGCTATATATACGTTATTTTTTACTTTTTCTAATATAGATTCTAATTATTGTAATATTGCAACATTTATGAGGATGTAAAGAGTGAAAATCTTGTTTCATATCTCATTAATCGCGGTTCGACCGAACCGAACCATTTGTTCCGTAGAGTCCCCATAGGACGAACTTCAGTCTCTATAATCGGAGGTCTAGTGGAGCCAGACGTAGTCTCAGCGGAACAACCGACGATATAGAGAGACTGAAGCTTTATGTCAAGGCCAAGCCTTACTAAGCATGCGCCTACCTATATCACTATCATGGTCATGGACATGAAACAGACTTGGCAGTACATGAATCCTGTTGGCATTAACTGTCATGCGATTTACATCACAAAAATGTTGACCTCTGACAGGAGTTTGTAATGTTGATCCTGGCCAGAATCTTGTGTATAAAAAAATCGGTATACAAAAAAATAACACTGATTTCTCATTGTCAATGTAATGCTGAATTGCAAAAAGAATGAACAACCCTGAAGTGCTGGAAGTATTGGTGATTCAGCATCTAACATTTAGCGATACTTTCAATGACCGTATTGGGAGACTGTTTCCCAACTTGAGACTGAGAGACTGCCATCATGATTCGTATTTGAAATTAAGATTACAAAAGGACAAAAGAAACAACATCCACAGATATGTTCCTTTTTTCCAGCCAGACCTTTTCCTCTCTGCACTGAGGTCGGGAGCCCAGTAGTTTTGTTTATGGATCTTTAAACAAAAGAGAAAAGGGTTATGAAAACAAATGTAGACAATGAGTTTTTAAAATAGACGATAAAAAGGGGTAATTTGTCATGAGGAATCTACTTATCACATTTTCAATTTAAGCCAAGGTGATCTCTTTGTAACAAATGTAAAGAAAGGAAACTGGTAGTGATGCTGGTATCCCAAATAAAGCTCTGGGGCTCCCAAATATGCTACCAAATATTTTGACAAAAGTCTCTGACAATACAGACAGTGTCTCAACTCTCAAATAGAAAAGAGTCTCCCATAGTGCCTCTACTAGTTGACCTCTGGCTCTGACCAGTTTGGACTTTGTTCATGTTGTTAGACCATGAGGCCATCATTTTCTTAAGTTTACGTTTAGTCTGACTCCAAGATAACTTCTAAGTCAAGTCAACTCTATTTTTAGTATTCATCTGTTTTTTGTTTTATTTTTTTTTTTCATTTCAGGTCCATTTACAGATGTTGTCACATCTGAGCTGACACTTTCAAATCCATCGGACAAAATTATCTGCTTTAAGATCCAAACAACAACACAAAGTAGGTACTGTGTGAGACCGAAAAGTGGAATCATGATTCCCAATCAGAACGTCACTGTTTCAGGTAGGTACTATGGTATGGAAGGAATTTGAATAAGAAGGGGAAGGAGATTAATGAAAAAGACAGAGAGACAGAGAGAGAGAGACGGACAGACCTGTAACATAATTTGTATCCAGAGTAAGAATTTATGATGTGATAAATTGTGTAGATTGGGATTTCAAACCTCAAGATCTCCCTTCCATTCCCCAAAATGAAAAGAAGATTGTATTGATTGCATTATTTGAATATTTAATTCATTGTAAGCATGCTGAATAAGACTTACAGGTAAACATACAAAATTAATATTCGTGAAGAAGAGATGAAAAGTATACTAAAGAGCATGCATACAGAACTTACTATTAATGTTCTTTCTTCCCTTTTCCTTCTATTCTTTTTCTGCTGTAGTAATGCTACAACCCTTTCACTTTGATCCAAATGAGAAGTACAATCACAAATTCATGGTACAATCAATCGTCATACCAAAGGCAGATATTGACTTGGAAGCAGTGGTATGTATTAGCTCATCTTTTCACTTTAGGGATCATTCAAGGGTTGCTAATATAGTATTAATGACTGCTTTGAGAAAAATAGTTGTTTTTATACGCTCAAGGGAAGGTTAGAACTGTGCTATTACCCGAGGCGTGCCGAGGGGAATAGCCCAATTGTAACCTTCCCGAGAGCGTATAAAAACAACTATTTCTCGAATATTAAAGCAGTCATTAATACTTTTATATGCCGAAAAAAATAGACTAAAAAATAAAAAATACTTTTTTTATTTGTCGAAGGTGAGATTCGAACTCTTGCGTACATTGAGTGATGCATCTTAAACCAACGCCTTACACCACTCGGCCATCGCGCGCTGTTAACATGCTTGGCAGTTCTGTACAATATATACATTAAAATGGATTGAAACCGGCTTCGGCGTGATGAATGCTTCGCAAAAGCACCCTTCTTTTACTTTTGCAATGCATATTGGCACGAACTTAGATCAAGATCTATCGGCAGATGTTGTTTTTTTGTTTTTGAAAGTTTATTTTCGTCTTCATGTCAACAATGCAAGATAAAATTGTCGGTAAGATCGATCGAGATTAAATTGTATTGAAATTACCGACCAATCCTTCGCACACATACGGTATCCTCGATCGCTCAAACCATTGTTTAACATGTAAACCTATGGGGTAACCATGGAGACTGACCTATTTTCTTAATAACCATGATTATTGGGATTTTGAACTGTTTTAACCATGGTTACCGGGAATTTTACAGGAACAGCTGAAGTTTATGAATGCAATTTCGACCAATCAGATTGCTGGATTACTTAAGTGAGGTATATAATGTACAATGTATCCCCTGGCAGTATGCTGGACGATACTTTGGATTACGCAGCGTCCGCCGCGTCATATTCTTGTGTGCGCACTAACTGTCACATTCCTTGACGGATTTCATTCAAATTTTGTATGGAGGTGGATCTTGGTATAATATACACACCTATCATTTTTGGTGATGCTGCTCCCAGTGTTCTGTCAGTATTTCTGTCAAATAAAGTGGATTATCATATATTTGTCCAGTGAACTATTACTCTTTTCACACTGGTTTTGCTTAACCCCGTACTTTGCTTAGCCCCGTACTATCCTTAACCCCAGACTATTTGTTGGGGCTTTTCACACACGCTGTTTTTAGTCCCGTACTAGCGCCTCTTCCGGAATAAGAAAATTCACCCTGTTCTCACTGCAATTCGTTAACCCCGGGTATCGTGAATGTTATGATTTGACATACTTCGCATCTGACCAGCTGCGATACGCTCCATTGCGTAGTTCCGGACTTTTTTTCGTTTCTGTTCTCATTCATTTGCTTGGCACGTCAATTGCGGGGTTAGCAAGAGTTAGCACCACAATTGCGGAGTTAGCCCTGCTATTTTTACTTCATAATTACTGTTTTTACACTGGCAATATTTTGCTTAACCCCGTACTATTGATAGGTGGCGTTAACCCCGTACTATAGGTGGGGCTAAGACCCCCCCCCCCCCTTAACCCCACTTATAGTACGGGGTTAAGCAAAATATTGCCAGTGTAAAAACAGTAATTATGAAGTCTGTTTTTTCCAGCGAATATCTTAATCCTTAAGTTATCTTGATTTTATTTAAATCTATTAATGTACGTGTTCATTGATTTTATTAATAGTATTAACTATTATGAGGTGGGCTGTATAACGTACAGACCACCTTATAATTTCGTTAGAATTGCCTTTATTTATCAGGTGGGCTGTATAACGTACAGACCACCTTATAATTTCGTTAGAATTACCTTTATTTATCAGGTGGGCTGTATAACGTACAGACCACCTTATAATTTCGTTAGAATTGCCTTTATTATTTATTTATCAGGTGGGCTGTATAACGTACAGACCACCTTATAATTTCGTTAAAGTTGCCTTTATTTATTTATTTATTTATTTTTCTTACATCTAACCACTTTTTTGTAAGCACGATTACTTAAAAATGGCTCAATCAAATACCTTTAAATTTGGCACACACATGTATAGGCATATGTACAAAGCACAATAATGTTTTCAACATTGACCCTCACTGATGACGTCATCTAGGCGCCATTTTGTAAAATTTTCGGAAAATCAATTCATGATGATATCTTCATAACGGAAAGGCATTTCTCATTCATATTTATTATGATAAAGGTCAATATCCGTCCGGTCAATTGCAGGTCAAATAACGAGCGCGTGCGCGTACGTACGCGCGTCAATGTGCGCGCAAAATTTCAAAATGCTCAAAATCGTATCAAAATTATTTTGCATACGTTTTTGGCCATTCTAAGCATTTTATAAAAAATCGCACACACGCGCATGCGTGCGCGTTTTCGAACGTAAAACTATTACACAACATAGAATCGCCATTTTTTTTCCTTTCATAGTTTTCACATATTTTTACAAACAAATTGATACCATGTTTGTCTCTTTATGACCATTGATAACGGAATGATCGACCGTTTAACATAAATGTCCGTGCGCGCGAGCTCTTGTAATACATAGGATATATGGGCAAAAACATGCCTATACAAAATCCATTGTAGCTCTTTGGGATGCAACTGGGAACCCCAATTTTTTTCTTCATATTTTGATAGAGTATGAGTCAGAGACATGATTTGTATGTCTCATTTGACCCTCAATTATGTCATGACGTCATCATAATTGCCTGTGAACTCAAAATTTCCATTTGCATATTATGACGTCAGCATATTTTTGGAAAATTGATTGTATCTCTGTAAATATTGATTTTTTTTTCCTACAGATTTTGATATGTACTAGCTAAAACAAATTTCTACAAAAAAATTGCCACAATTTTTTATTTTGACAAAGGCATCATGGCGTATTTTTGGCGATTAAAGGAGGCATGTCAATTTTTCACATTTTGCGTGTATTCTCAATAGGACATGATTTTTTCTTAAAACTGGATTCTACATTCCCGTCTTTTGCGAGCAATATCTCCGTCGTTTTAGCTTCGTTTACGCTGAGCTTCGAGTATGTTGTAGCTGAGACAATAAGCTATCTCAAATGTGCCCTTTATTTTGTCTCAGATTTTAGTTGGACCAGCCCACCTATACTTGTTCCAAACAAGTATTACAAATCTAGTATCTTTTTCTTATTTCTAACCACTTTTTTGTAAGCACGATTACTTGGAAATGGCTTAATCAAATGCCTTCAAATTTGACACACATATGTATAGGCATATGTACGAAGCACAATAACGTTTTCAACATTGACCTTCACTGATGACGTCATCTAGGCGCCATTTTGTAAAATTTTCGGAAAATCAATTCATGATCATATCTTCATAATAGAAAGGCATTTCTCATTCATATTTATCATGATTAAGGTCAATACCCGTCCGGTCAATTTCATGTAAAAAAACGCGCGCGTACGGGTACGTCCGCGCGTGGTGCGCGCGCAAAATTTTGAAATGCTCAACATAGTCTCAAAATCATTTTGCATACGTTTTAGGCCATTTTAAGCATTTTATAAAAAATCGCTCACACGCGCATGCGCGCGCGTGCGCGCGCGTTTTCGCGCATTTTTTTTCTTTCTTGATATTCCACATATTTTTACAAACAAATTGATACCATGTTTGTCTCTTTATAACTATTGATACCGGAATGATTGACCGTTTACATAAATTTCCGTGCGCGCGAGCTCTTGTAATACATAGCATATGTATGCAAAAACATGCCTATTCAAAATCCATTGTAGCTCTTTAAGATGCAAGGTGACCCCAATTTGTTTTCATATTTTAATAGAATATGATTCGGAGATATTGTTTCATGTCTCATTTGACCCTCAATTAATTCATGACGTCATCATAATGGCCTCCGAACTCAAAATTTTAATTTGCATATTATGACGTCAGCATATTTATGGAAAATTGATTGTATCTCTGTAAATATTGATCAATTTTCTTCCTAATTTTGATATGTTCTAGCTGAGACAATTTTCTACAAATGTAGTGGTCACGATTTTTCTTTTTGACAAAAGCATCATGTCGTATTTTTGCGATTAAAAGAGGCATGTCAATTTTTCACATTTTGCGTGTATTCTCTATGGAACATTACTTTTTCTCAAAAACTGGGTTCTACATTTCAGACTTTCGCGAACAATATCTCCGTCTTTTTAGCTTCGTTTACGCTGAACTTCGAGTATGTTGTAGCTGAGACAATAAGATATCTGAAATGTGCCCTTTATTTTGTCTCGATTTTTTGTTGGATCAGCCCACCTATACTTGTTCCAAACAAGTATTGCAAATCTAGTTTGTATACTCTATTCATCTTTAATGGACTTTAAAGGTTTTCCAAACAATGTACATATTTTCCTTTGATCGTCAAATCATAGATAATAAAGTATGATATGCCTTTCCTGAGATGCAACAGACGTCATGTAAGCGGGAACTTATCAATTCCACAATGCCATGAGCTGCTATGATCGGTATTTGACAAAAGGTAAAAGACGGGAGTCATTTTGACCAGGTCAAAAAGTACAAGCGAAAATCCTTATTTACTACAAAGCGTAGCAGTTATGGGCATAAATCTTTCCCAAATGAATGTATGTAACCATTCTGACCATATAAGTATAATAAGCTATCTAATGCAATATATTTGTTATGTGTAAAGAATGTCCATACATTAACGAACTTGTCAATTATATTGTATGTATTGTATGCATTCAAATTGTAATTAATGCAATGTCGCGATAACCTTAGTGTCATATCATATGAAATTAAGGTAACCAAATTGAATTATGCTGATCCATGGCTGCAAGAAGCTTGGGTGCAGACAACACGTTTTATAGATAGAAATCACATATTCAGTCAAGCACCCCTTGAAACATCACAAAGTAAGTCCGCCCCCGCCGGAAAGAAAGAAAAAAAGTTTGGCATGCCAGGCACCCATACAATGGAATGCAGTGGAGAATGCAGTGAAGCTTGGAGCGGCTTTTGTAGGCTCGCATG